GTGTGCGGGCAGGCGGAGATGAGGATCCAGATGCAGGACTTCAGCTTTTATTGCTGGCACCAACACAAAAACAGAAACCAAACCAAGAAACCAAAACAGAAAACAAGGAGCATGATTCCAGATCAGTCCATAAACAAGAAAACAGGTCAACACAAAACTAGATCCATCACGAGTCCACGAGAAAGTTCAGGGGGTCGACCCGAAGGTAGACAGCACGGGGCCAATGAGTTCAGGGGGCCGGCCATGTGGACCGCAATGGCGGCAACAAAGCAGGTCCGGGGGCCGGCCACGCGGAAGGCATTGGTGACAACAAAGCAGGTCTGGGGGCCGGCCATGAAGCCAGCAGCGGCGACGACCTCGATCTGACGGCGAAGACGTCCAACCAAAGGCCTGGAAAGTGGCCGGCAAAGGCGAGGTGGTTCAGGCCGAGCTGGGTCGGACGGCGGTGGAGTGGCAGAGGCTGACGCTGAGGCCGGACCAGGCGAAGCCGATGCAGAGGCTATAGACATTTTTCATTATACTGACAATGAAAAAATAGAAGTACTCAGATTTTTAATGCCAAAAACATTTCTGCTAAAATAACCAGATAACCAACTTTGAAAGTAATTTAACCTTCATGCATCTGTAAAGCTGTGCATTTCTGGCTTTTTTCTAGACATGCTGGAGTTGTATTTTGAGAAGACTTGGACTCATCCCAAAAACATCATCATGATCCCAAAAGAAAAGGCTGCCATCATCACTTTCAGTGATCCTAAAGGTCTTTTTTTGTTGATGTAAGCCTATGCTGAATGTATGCAGACACCAGCTTGCTGTAGTAGTGGTGTTAATGTGAGGGCTTTGCCCACCAAGTTCTTTCACGTCTTTAAACAGAAACTGGTTCAGCAAACTTTGGAAACATTTTAGTGTTTAAGCTTTCAGAATGGATTCTGTACGGCTAATAGTTGTCCTTACTGGAGCTAAGCAGCTGAGATGAAAACAACAAAAAACAAACCCAAACGTTAGAACACATCACTTGTGTACTTTGGTTATATAGTGCTTTTATTCCCAAGGACGAGGTACGTCTGAGGCAGCTAGCTTCACATAGGAAATATTAGGTCAGCTTTTCCAGTTTTTTAAAGTGAACCTGAACTTAGAGGCAAAGAAATCAGTTATTACTAAAGTTAATAAAATAAAATAAAAAATGCTTTAGATTAATACCTGCTGTACTTAGAAGTAGTGTACAAATAACTGAAACGGTTAGCTAACAGTGACTGAGAAACTGTAAAAAGTCTAGATCCAAATGTGTTTAACTGAAGTAATTTGAAGATGAAAAGTGTTGTAGAAAAATGATATTTGTCAGATAAAGAAGGTTCAGAACCGCAGAGTAACCACTTATCTAACCTTTGCTTCTCTGCTCCTTGTTTGCTGCAGTTGTGGAAAAGATTTG